GGCTGCCTCCCACATGACCTGACCAGGGCCAGGGACCAATCGCAACTGAGGTACCTGCACTTGACCAGAATCGAACCCGCAACTCATTGGTCCATGGGCTGACGCTCTAACCACTGAACCAAACTGGCCACGGACCAATAACTTTATTTTTGAAATGTGCGTCCTCACTAGTTATCACACAGATGAAAATTAAAATGAGATGCTGCCCTGGCCAGTGTGGCAAAGTGGTTAGAGCATTGGCCCGCATACCAAAGGGTCACGGGTTCAATTCCCAGTCAAGGGCATATACCTGGGGTGCAGGTCTGATCTCTAGCCCCAGTCGGGGTACATGAAGGTGGCAACCAATCGATGTCTCTTTCTCACATCCATGTTTCTCCCCCCCACACCCCCACTCCTTACTTGCCTCTAGTCTCTCTCTAAAAATCAATGGGAAAAAAATATATCCTCAGGTAAGGATTAATAAAAAATAAAAAGAAAAGAAAATGAATGAGATGCTGCTTCTCACTCACATTGGCACACATTTTAAAAGGTAAATCATTCACATTAAAGAGAATCTAGCAGATATTCAATTAATTAAGATAACCTAGACCACAAAAGGCAGCTACTTTGAGATGATGCATATTGGGCATTTGTATTTTATGTTTTGTGACTTGCCTAGTCATGCCCCAGTGACAGGTGTGTAAACAGGTAAAATCATTCCAGGAAATAACTGAATAGTATCTAGTAAAAATGCAAATCTAAAAACAAAACCTGTGAATCTCAAAGCCCACTGCCCAGCAACACTGCTTTTGGATATATTCCTTAAAAAATGTTCAAACTTATGAGACTGTTCACTGTCACACTGGGTATAATGAAAAAATAAATAAAAACAAATGAAGAAACAAAAGTGTGGCCTCTTCAAAGTATGAACCAGCACATAGCATTTAAAAAGATTTAACCAGACCCTGGCCAGTGTGGCTCAGTTGGCTGGAGCTTAGTCCCACATACCAAAAGGTTGTGGGTTCGATTCCTGATCTGGGTTTCTCTCTCACATTGATGTTTCTCCCCCCCCTTTCCTCTCTCTCTATTCTTTTTTTTTTTTTTTTTTTTTTTTTTATCCTCACCCGAGGATACTTTTCCATTTTTTGTACAGATAGAGTGGGAGGGAGAGAGAGGAAGACAGAGAGAGAGAGAAACATCGACGTGAAGGGACACATCAAGTGGCTGCCACCCGCACGACCAACCAGGGCCGGGGACAAACTGCAACCGAAGTACATGCCCTTAGCGGGAACCGAACCCGGGTCTCTCCGGACCGCAGGCCGACGCTCTAACCGCTGAGCCAAACCAGCCAGGGCTCCTCTCTCTCTAAAATCAATAAAAACATACCCTTGAGTGCGGATTTTTAAAAATTACAAAAAAATAAATAAAAATACTTAAATGTATTAACAGGGACAGAACTTATTAAAAACACAAGGTGATGGGGGGAAAGCAGAAGTACAATACTTACAGTACGATACAGTTCTAAAATTTGAACCACCACAAAACAATGTAATGTGTTGGGGATGTATATAGGTATATGTACATACAAGTAAATTAAACCCACGACTGGCTGCTTCCCACAATGAGAACAATGGTGATCAGAAGGGACTTGAGTCTTAACTGAGATGTTTTGTTTAAAAAAAGGTAGAGGATTCCAAACCAAATATGACAAAACAGTTATTTATTGAGGGGGTGACTAGGAATATGCCTGTTTTATCTGTCAATATAAAAAACATTCAAACCTGTGAAGAATTTTTGTGAGTTTATTTGAGCCAAAACCGTCGATCATTGCCAGGAAGCAAAATCTCAACAGGCTGAGATAATGCTCTGGAGAATGGCAGTTGTGCCCTTTTTTTTATAAATTACAATCAAAAGAGAAGATGCAAGTGAGTTAGATGAAATCCACTGGTGACAGATCAGGGAGGTGGGAGAAAGCAAAGCAGGAAACCTTTGGGACTGGATGGAAAGTAATGACAGACACAGACATCTTTTATACAGGTGGGCACAGGATAGTTAACAGTCAACAATGAGCTGGATAGCAGGGAGAGGGTCTGTGGTCTCTGCAGACTGGTGCCTGTGCTCTGAGGTGTCCAGAGAAGGGAAAATCACTTGGACATTCCAAAACTATGTTATGGTAGATGCAATAAGACAACAGACAGGCTCAGTTAAAGATTGACCTTTGTCAGGGAAGATGTTGGCCTAGGACATGACTACCTGACATTTAGTTTAAGTTTTCATTTCAGACCATCCTTTACGTTCCATCTCTGAGTTCGCACGGCCACCATGCAGACCTTCCCTGAGCTTGTCAGGCTAACATGAGGCCTCTTTTCATCCACATATCTTTTTTTTTTTTTCTTTATTGATTTCAAAGAGAGAGGAAAGGAGAGGAAGAGAGGTAGAAACATTAATGAGAGAGAACATCAATTGGCTGCCTCCTGCACGCCCCCCACTGGGGATCTGGCCCACAACCTGGGCATGTGCCCTGACCGGGAATCGAACCAGTGACCTCCTGGTGCATGGGTCGACGCTCAACCACTAAACCACACCAGCCAGGCCACGTATCATTTTTATCTTTCATTTTTTAATTTCTCAAAATTAAAATTGCCCTAGCATGTCAGACCATCTCGGTGAACAAGATGCCTGGATTCCACCATCATGATGTCTGTCTGTAGTCCCAGGAAAGATGAACTGAGAAATGCAGCAGTGGGGAAGGAAGGATTCAAGGGTCCTTCTATGTCTGCTCCCCAACTTCTTTCTATGTCTTCATTGGGACTTTTTATATTTCCCTTTTTTTTAAATCCTCATCCAAGGATACGGAGGATATATATATACACACACACATACATATATATTTTTTATCCTCACCTGAGGACATTTTTGCATATATCTTGAGATAGAACAGTAGGGAGAGAGGGAGGAAGAGAGAAAAACATCGATGTGAGAGAACCACAACCAAGGTACGTGTTCTTAGCGGGAACTGAACCTGGGGCTCTCTGGTCTGCGGGACAATGCAGGAGGATATTTTTACATTTATCTTCACACAGGGTGAGATAGAGAGAGAGGAAGAAGAGAAACATCGATGTGAGAGAGACACATCGATTGGTTGCAACCCGCACAACCCCAACCGAGGTATATGCCCTTGGCCAGAATCAAACCCAGGACTCTTTGGTCTGCAGGCTGGCACTCTAACCACTAAGCCAAACTGACCAGGGCTGGACTTTTTATATTTCTAGAACAAGTCTAGAAATTTACCGAGTTGTAACTCTAGTTAATTCTACTCTGTGGCATGCCTTTGAGTTTTCTGATTACATAAAAGTCTTCTGTTACTCTCCATTCTTAGAGTTGAACTACACACACACAAACATGTTATAGTTCCCCAGAGACCACAACACAGGTTTGGCTGACTGATGGAGAAACTCCTCAAAGCACAATGGAACATCTCTGACAAACCAGGGTCCTACAGGTGTACAAAATACAAAACAAAGCAAATGAAAATCATAGAGAAAGAGAAAGTAGAACTTTCTTTGCCTCTGTTTTGAAAAGTCAAAAGAACCCCAGCCCACGTGACTCAGTTGGCTGGAGCATCACTCAGTATACCAAAGGGTCACAAGTTTGATCCTTGGTCAGGGTGAATGCAGAGAGGCAACCAATCAATGTTGATGTTTCTCTCTCACACTGATCTCTCTCTCTCCCTCTGCCTTCCTCTTGCTCTAAAATCAATAAAAACATATCCTCGGGTGAGGTTTTTTTTTTAAAGTCAAAATAGCCCTGGCCAGTTTGGCTCAGCGGTTAGAACGTCGGCCTGCGGTCCAAAGAGACCCGGGTTTGGTTCCCACTAAGAACACATACCTCAGTTGCAGTTAGTCCCCAGCCCCCGTGGGTGGCAACCACTCAATGTGTCTCTCTCACACTGATGTTTCTCTCTCTTTCTCACTCTCTATCTGAAGATAAATGCAAAAATGTCCTCGGGTGAGGATAAAAATAACAATAACAGTTTATTTGAGCCAAACTGATGATATATTCCCGTCAGCAAGATTTCAAATGCTCCCTGATGATTCTTACTTTCATTCTTTTGCTGTTCTCCGTTGTTCAGATTTATCCGGTTTACTAGTGTATGAGAGCTTATTGAACATCAGAGATCTGTCAACGTTTAAACGCAGAGAGCCTTGCACTCTGGATTAAGGAAACCTTTCCTCCTGGGATTTGTTACAAAACTACTACTTGATATCCTCACTGCTGCCACCAGCATCCCTGAAGAGGACAGCAACCCCTCCCGCACTACCTGGCTCCACCCACCTGTCCACAGACCCAGGCTTTTTCTCAAGAGAACTTCCAAACACTTGGCTCGCTCTGCTCCCTAACTACTCAAACTCACCTTCATAGCTCTCCTCAGCTTCCCACCCATCGCCCAAAGGGCTGGGTGGAGGAGGTCTCCCGCAGATATCCGGTTACTACCCAGCCTAAACCTCCAGGGTCTCACACCTACAGGGACGCCCCCATTGCCCCAACTGGCATCCCTTCTCTTGGCTCCGCGGAGTCCTGTTTCCTCCTACCCCTCTCTGAGCACCCCAATGCCCACCGAGAACTCTACCTCCCCGGCACCCCGGATCTGTGACGGGACCCCACCACCACCACCACCACCTCTGCACAGCCAGGTCAGTCCTTTAGTGCTTCCGGATCTGTGAAAGGTCACCCTCCTGGGCCCAAGAGGAGCCGAGACCCCCGAGACCCCCGAGTCCCCTCCAGGCCCGAATCCTCCGGCTAGCCGAGACCCTGCCCAGGAGGCCCCCGATCTAGGACAGGTCCCTGTCCAGGGCCCTTGGGGAACTCAGAGCCCCCTTCCAGGCCGGCACACCTGCCGCCTGGACCTGCGAGTACCCTCGCAACCCCGGAACCTCCCCCCACGCCCGGACCTCCGCCCCGAGCCCCGCTCCAGGCCCAAGTCCCCTCCCAAGCCTGGACCCCCGCTATCGCGCACTCACCCTCCCGGCAGCGCCGTCTCCAGATGGTGTCATTGTGCAGGATGCGACAGAACTTGGTGCAGACCTGTGCCAGGCTGGGCAGGTCGGTGCCGGGTAGCGAGGCGAAGATCTCCACCAACAGCTCGGGAGGCAGCTCCAGGAGCGAGCAGCGCGGGGGCGGCGAGGGGCTCGCGCTCCGGCCGCCCCACTCCCCGCACAGCGCCGCCGCGCCCGCCTCGATGCGCTCCTCTTCTAGGTCGGTGTCCGGCTCGCTGTCGGCCGCCGCCGTCTCGGCCGGGCCCCGGCGCTGCTGGCGACGCCGGCATCCCCGCGAAGAGCCCACGCCACAGAGGCGAGCGCACACCGCCATGCCGGGCAAGTAACGGACCCGCCGCCGCGCGTGCGCGGGCGCTGCTGCGAGCCGGCCCCGCCCCGCTGGAGCCCAGAGCAGGCCCCCCAGGGCCTAGTCACGCCCCATCAGAGCCGAGCCCTCCCAGTCCTGAGCCTAGCCACGCCCCACTCAGCTCGGCCCCTCCCCCAGGGGGGACCCGCAGAGGCCCCGCCCCAGGAAGCCCCGCCTGCCCCGGTGGGTGATCCGGGGATCCCTTTCCTAGTGGGCCGGTGAGCCCCGGGCGGCTCTGGCCTCTGCTCATCTGAGGTCTGAAGGCTTCCTGTCCCATTCCCGGAGCAAAGAATGTCACCCGCAAACGCGCGACGGCCGCCTCTTTCCGACCGGGGATGTGCTGCCGCGTTTGAGGACCAGTCACCACCTCTAAAGTATAGGGCTGACGCGCTCCCCACTGCGCTGACCGGGCTCGCGGAGGCCACCCCTCACCTTGGAACGCCTACGGGTGTGTCTGCCGCACCGAGGGTGGCCCTAAAGATTCCCCCGGAGGACCCCCCCCCCACTGTGAATCCCTCCAGGACACCCTCTGAGGGCCCCGCGGATCCCCCCACCAGAACCCCCAGGACCTCCCCCTGAGGACAGCCCCAAGGACTGGCTCCCAGGATTCCCCAAGGACACCTTCCTCCCCCGGTACCCTCTTCCCCAAGAAAAGCTCCAAAAGACTCCCAAGACTGCTACACACAGAAGGCATAATTAAGTGGCAGGTGGAATCAATGCCAACGGTTAAAGCCCTCCGAACTAGGTAAGCCAAAGAGAACCCTGAATTGTGCCTGTCATCTCTTTCTTTTATCTGAAAACTAAACATTCACTCATGTCTGCCCTTATTAGAGTGAAAAGGGGAAATCATGCTAGCTGATAAATTCTGTGTCATCTGTCGATGATCTTGTTGATATGACCTAGTTACCTTGTTTACTGTGCTCCGGGACACGTGTGTTCTAGAGAATCTGCAAAGCTAGCTCTTGACAGTAGCTTCAGGGGTGTGGATGCTCTAGAAGCAGCTTTACAACTCCTTTCTGAATAAGACTTACTTCAGTGCCCTAAAGGGCTGTAGGAGTTGCCCAGAATCTAAATGGAAGCTAAGAATCCGATGGCCACGCCAGTGTTTCTGGTCCAGTGTGGGTTCTTGCTTATCTAGTAGAAAATACCAGCCCTGCCCGCCTGTGTGGCTCAGTGGATTGAGCATCTTCCCATGGACTGAGAAGTTCCGGTTCAATTCCCTGGTTGCCATTGGATCCTCAGTGGGGGTGGGGGGACATGCAGGAGGCCGCCAATTGATGTTTCTCTTTCACATGGATGTTTCTAGCTCTTTCTCCCTTCCTCTCTCTCTAAAACAATCAATAAAAACATATTTAAATAAAAATAAAATATACTAGCCCTACCAGTTCCCCTGGGCCCAGCCTCCACAAATTCCTGGCTATCTACCACCACCTCCATAAGGAAATCTCTAAGCAGAAAAGAGAGAGGGCAGCCTACCCTTGTCCACAGAATCCTATAAATGGGGAAGTGCATCTTCTGACAAAAACAGCAGTGCCTTAGTTCAAATTTTGACCATCTTGGGTCCACCTAATTGGAAAAAAAAAAAAAAAACACCAAATTAACCTACCTGCATCTAGAAGGTTTTTCAGTCCATCCTCTGCAGTGGCCAGAACTGGCTTCCTTCAAATAGTAACATAAACAAAGAGGAGTCATCCCATCACTCACCTATTTAAAGTACTTAGTGGGCCCATTGACTCCTTATCACTTCACACAAAGTAGCTCACTATCTGGTCCTATCCTCCCAGCCTGGCCTCCTCTCATTCCCCATACACATCTTTCAATGGGAGCCACCAGATTCCTTAGCTAAAACTCACCATGCCTTGTCACATCTCTGTCACTGTGCTCAAGCTGTCTCCTCTGCCAGGAAGTCCCATCTCCCCAGTCTGTGCCATTAAAACCAACCCCTTTCCTCCTTGTCCTCTAATGGCACCCCCTTCTAGGAAAGACGATCCTGTTATTATGGCACCATCATATTTTATTGTAAACACTTGCATCCTTTGGCACCAGCTTTACTAGATGTATCCCTCATAACATGATAGATATACTAACACTTCATGCAATCAGTGAATGTTTACTGACTAAATGTTTGTTGAATGAAAAAAAAAATACACTGGCTAAAAGATTAAACAGGGAGGAATGTAAACCATCCCACAATCACCATACAAGCTAGGAAATATCTCAGCAATGTATCAAATAATATAATAAATATTTACAGAATGCCTGACTAGCCTATGTGCTATGTCCTGTGTGGATCCATAGATTCTAAAGTATGATCCTTGCCACTGTTACATTTCAGTCGGTTTTTAAAAAATATATTTATTCCCTACTAGGCCCTATTAATAAAATATAATTGTTCTTCTATAGGAGCCTAGAGTATATTAAAATGTACAAATTAATTTCCTCAAATTTCCATCTTTAGTAGAATAGTTAAACCATTCTATGTTCATAATTTGAATTATGCAACTATACAGTTAAAAAGATATAGCTATATATTCTTTATTTTTATTTATTTTATTATTATTATTTTAATCCTCACCTGAGGATATATATTTTTTTTTTGGTACTGCCCCTAGCGGGAACCGAACCCTGGATTCTATGGTCCGCAGGCCGATGTGCCAACCACTGAGCCAAACCAGTCAGGGCTCACCTGAGGATATTTTTTTCCATTTATCTTTAGATAGAGTGGAAGGGCGGGAGGGAGACAGAAACATCCATGTGTGAGAGAGACAGACCAGTCATCTACCGCAGGACCTGGACCAGGGCCTGGGCCAACTGAAACCGAGGTATGTGCCCTTGGCCAGAATGGAACCTGTGACTCTTTGGTCCTCGGGCTGACACTCTAACAACTGGCCCAGGGCTAGCTATATATTCTTTACAGAAGGTAGGCTGTGTACAGTAACTCACAAAGGTATTGAAGGATTGAATTGGTGCAGACTATCAGAACAGAAAGAAAACGACAGCTGTGAGAGCTTAGGTAATCCATGCTGGTGTAAAGGACCCAGGTGGAAATGACTTTGCACACAGCAGAGAACTATTACACATTGAACGCTAAAAGTTTTATATATCCTTGAACAATTTTACAATCCCTTAATACAGAACTTGTAGCCTTCTTTACAAAGAACACTAAGGGTAGTAGTTCATTCATACTAAAAAGAGGAAAAAATAGAAGAGAGAATTTGTTTTAATACTATGAGACTACAATAATGAACTCTTTGTCAGTGAGAACTGATAACATCTAAGGAAATAAGTAGAATACAGTGCGGGGCATTTTTCAGTTGGTTGCCTGGAAAGTCACTGAAAGTAATAAAAACCATGTTAACTTTATTCATGTTGTTTTCTCAGAATGCAGATGTGAAAAATGTCATCTTATCCATTGCTCAGCAGAAACAGTCAAGGTGAATGGAAAGAAGGGAAAACATTTACAGGTTAAACAAGAGGTTCTTGGTTGAAAACGAGAGTTGAATCCCTTAACAGTTACATACATGGGCAAAAGCTGGAAAAACAATCCTTTGAAATGTGTTCAGAATTAAACAACAACAAAAAACCCTTTAGACTGTCACTGAGTTCTATCAGTTGTTACTGACTCATTTAAATGTTAGATTATCTGAGTGATTTATGGTGGCTTTCCCTCATGCACTGGTTTGCTGATTTCTGAAGTCATACCCCAGAGGCAGAGCTTCGCTGGGAGAGGAAGCACTCCAATACAGTGCCACCTCTTTCAAAAACCTCCCAGGAACCAGTGAAGACACTCCCACAGACTGGGTCTATTGTTTGTCAACTGGAAAATCCTCCTGACTGAATCCTTTCTGAGAATAGCTCCTGCACTCCTCTTGAGCAATACTTGTTTGTTTACTTGTTCTAAAGAGCAGATGACACACGACTGATTAGACAACTGGCCAATAGTGGCCCAGACAACTTCCAGGGTGAAATATGTCTTCCAATCAGAAAGAGGAGAGGTGGGACAGGACAGGCAGGATTGAGGAGGTGAACTACTTCTCAGTTTGACCTGCCCTCCATATTGAGAGTGGCAAAAATAACCCTAATGTGTTCTAGACGCAGGTTCTAGACGCTGGTTCATCTTTCACGCCCCATTTAACAGATTTTTAGAAATAGCTAGACAGCATAAATTATAGCCGTGTTACATCACTAATGCTGGGATATCATACTCAATTTTTATCAGTTAAATTATTTCCCCAATTATGGTCATTCAATGTTATGAAAAAGAATAGGGTGAGAATTATTTAAACTGATACTGCTTGGTTTTCTACAATGATTATTTGATAGTATAAAAGCACCATGAGATTCCTGGAGAAAACACTAAATTTAAATGAAAGATGTACCTTTGCTTTTCCCTTTTATTTGGACTGGGTTTTTTGTGGGTTTTTTTTGGTACATGCCCCTAGCAGAAACCGAACCAGGACTCTCTGGTCCCCAGGCCAATGCTCCACCCGTTGAGCCAAACTGGCCAGGGCTGGACTGTTTTAAAGAACAGTTATATTTATGTTACTCATCTAAAAATAAATCATACTGTGCTTATATTAGCTATCTTAAAATAATTTATGAATAATATGTTTACCACTCTGAATATTGTTCACTACATCAAACTCTTATTTTTTATTTATTAATTTTAGAGAGAAAGAAAGGGAGAGGGAGAGGGAGAGAGAGAGAGAAATATTAATGAGAGAGAAACATCCACTGGCTGCCTCCTGCACGTCCCCTACTGGAGATCAAGCCCACAACCCAGTGCCCTGACTGGGAATTAAGCCAGTGACCTCTTGGTTCATGGGTCAGTGCTCAACCACTGAGCCACATATGCCAAGCACCTCAAATTTTTACTAAACTGCAATCTGGGGCACATGAAAATTTTCACATACACTCAAGCACACTTGTTTTCAAAAGTTACATGAACTTACTTTTTTAAAATTTGATTTTAGAGAGAGAGGAATGGGGGGAGAAACATTGATTTGTTGTTTCACTTGCTTATGCATTCATTGGTTGCTTGTTTTTTAAAAAATTTAACTTTTTCTATCACCATTTATCTCCTCTGTGCCCTCTCCCACCCTATCCCCCACATTGGTTGCTTCTTCTTCTTTTTTTGCTGTTTCTTGCTCAGGTTTTGTTTTATTTTATTTATTTATTTATTTATTTTTATCCTCACCCGAAGACATTTTTCCATTTTCTGTTCAGATAGAGTGGGAGGGAGAGAGAAGAAGAGAGAGAGAAACATTGACGTGAAAGGGACACATCGAGTGGCTGCCACCCGCATGACCCAACCAGGGCTGGGAACAAACTGCAACCAAGATACATGCCCCCAGCGGGAACCAAACCCGGGTCTCTCTGGACTGCAGGCCGACGCTCTAACCACTGAGCAAAACCGGCCAGGGGTTGGTTGCTTCTTGTATGTGCCCTGACTGGAGACTGAATTTGAAACCTTGGCATGTCCAGATGATGCTCTAACCAACTGAGCTACCCAGCCAGGGCCTAAAGTAATGTATTTTAAATAAAATTTATTACTTATTCAAATATGCTAGTCTAAAATGGAGATTATGCTTGTAAGACACCTTTGCATGCCAATGGTACTGAATGATTTTCTGAGAAATATGTAGAGAGATGTGGTTTTAGATTCAAGTAGGAATTCAAGGTTAGGGGAAGGACTATAGCAGCCACTGTAAATGTGGACTTCAGTACTTGAAAATCACAAAGAGAAATCCTGTCCCATCATTAGCACAGTCCTTGGAGCTAATTCCTTGAGGCTATGACAGTGAATTTAAGGCCTTTGGTAATTTGGTAAAGCTTTATGGATGCCTGAGGGACTAGGAAAATATGAAACTCTCCTTCCCCTCCCCCCACCCCCATATGCCAGATAATCAATTTTTCCCCTCTTCTTGCACTTGGAACAGTTGTCCAGCAAGAAAACTGAGAAATCCATTTCTTACAAAGTAGTACTAAGCCAAGAAAGCACTCACCACCCAATACTTGGTACCATAAAAATCCTTTTGTACTTCAAAATGGATCATTTTCTGTTTGGCAGAAGATAAGTACATAATAAGCATTTACTGGATTTTTTTTTTTTTCAATCTTTGCATAACAAGTACAAAACAATCAAGATGGTACACTTGGGGCTTAAAGTCTTCCCTTGGAACTTCGGAAATCTGATAAGATGTCTAAGTGTTCTTTATTAACTGTATATTATCAGATTTTCAAGGTAAAGAACTGTGGCAGATGAAAAACACAAACCTGGGACAGAAACTGACACATGGACAAATGCACTGTTCTTCTGTAGACAGTGGTAGAATAAAGAGCTACAACATCATTATTCTGGTGGTGGGAATAATTACACAGAATCTCCAACATACTTGCTTCTCTATAAAGAAAAAAAAAATCCCTGCTGTATTAAAACCACTTTGGGAAATGTATCTTAGAATGCTTTTTTTTTTTAATGGTATGTGCCCCTAGCGGAAACTGAACCCAGGACTCTCTGCTCTGCAGGCCGACGCTCCACCGCTGAGCCAAACCAGCCACGTCTCTTAGAATGTTTTATATGTTTATATAGGAATGCATACTAGCACAGTCCAATTACTTTATCAAACAGGCATATAAGAAAGGCTTTTACAAACTCAAAAGGGAAAAAAGCCTGGGAATATGGTGAGCTTTCAAAGTATTAAAGAGCAAAAACAGCCAAAGAATCAAGTGTTGTTCACATAGATGTATGTTCATCACATGTTGAGACGTGCAGTAGCTGAACTGATAACTAAACATTGTGTAGTACTATAGATTCTACAGGGCACTTTCATTTGCTCCTCAAAAACATTGGAATTCTAAAATATTATTGCCCTTTTACAAAAGTCTGAAACTCAGAAAAATGGTTTATTCAGGGTTGCTCAGCTAGTTAGGGTATGAATATGAGTAAGGCTTGATATTTGAGAGACTGGAAAATGCTCCTTAAATGAAACCAGCACTCTGACGACGTTGGGCAGGCCCACTACTTCAATCACGTGCAGGTACATAGCAATCATAACCGCTCAAGGGGCCGCCAGAAGTCACCTAATGGCTGTAGCATCCTGTCAAGAGGAGTTCACCCAATATGAAGGTCTTAAGCCAAAACAATTGTCCTTAGATTCTAGTAAACAAATCCTAAAATAACCCAGTTGCAGTTCTTTTCCTAGTTCGGATGTGTGACGGAAGTTCCCAGCGGAGATTTTAAAAATTAATACACACGCACACCTGAATGTGCTTAATCTGGAAAGCCAACGAAAACACAAAAAGCTTACACCTGAGGAATAACCAGCAGCTCCTAGAACAGTGAGACCCGTGAGACAGAAGCACAAAAGTCCTCTATCTTCAGGTAACATCGTTAGAGCTACCAGCACGGAGCGCTGGAAACACGAGCGTGCTAACTCAGAGCAGCGGGCCACGCGAGACAGCACGACGTGGCGGGGACCCCGGGGGTCGCACCCGCGGGGCAAGGGGCAGCACGGGATGCCTGGCCCCCCGACTCGTGCTCCCTCCCGCCGGCCAAATGCATGTAACCTCCCTCGGCGCGGTCAACTTGGGACAGTCGGCGCGCCCGCGGGCATGCGCACACTGCACTCCACGTGCCCTCGGCCCAGCCCCGCCTCCGGCGCTACGCGTGTCCCTGCTTCCGCCACGCCCGCCATGGCGGCGGCAGAGTCCGCCCTTGGCCCCGCCTCCTGGGGCGGTGCGCTGGTCACTTGACGCGGCTGCGGGCTGAGGAGACACAAGGGAAGTCGCTGTGGCCGCTGTTTGGTCCTCCGCCACCTAAAGCTGCCGGGACTCTGCCTCGCCGCCCGCTCCCAGCCTCGCGCGACATGCCGTCGGAGAAGACCTTCAAGCAGCGCCGCACTTTCGGTGGGTGCCGCGGCGGGGCCGGGGCTGATGCGGGCGGCCGGGCCCGGGAGGACTGAGGACCGACGCGGCGGGCCGGGCTGGGGGCTGACCGGGGCCGGAGAGGGCCGAGGGGCCGACGCGGCGGGCCGGGGGCACAGGGACTGACGGAGGGTCAGGCCCGGGAAGGCTGAGGAGCCGAAGCAGCGGGCCGAGCTGGAGGGTGACGGGGGCCTGGGAGGGCCGAGGGAGGGTCAGGGCCGAGGGAGGGCCTGGGAGGGCCGGGGGAGGGCCGGGACGGCCTGGGAGGGTCGGGAGGGCCGGGGGAGGGCCTGGGAGAGCTGGGGGAGGGCCTGGGAGAGCTGGGGGAGGGCCTGGGAGGGCCGGGACGGCCTGGGAGGGTCGGGGAAGGGCCTGGGAGGGTCGGGAGGGCCGGGGGAGGGCCTGGGAGAGCTGGGGGAGGGCCTGGGAGGGCCGGGACGGCCTGGGAGGGTCGGGGAAGGGCCTGGGAGGGTCGGGAGGGTCGGGGGTGGGCCTGGGAGGGTCGGGGAAGGGCCTTGGAGGGTCGGGAGGGTCGGGGGTGGGCCTGGGAGGGTCGGGGAAGGGCCTTGGAGGGTCGGGGAAGGGCCTTGGAGGGTCGGGAGGGTCGGGGGTGGGCCTGGGAGGGTCGGGGAAGGGCCTTGGAGGGTCGGGAGGGTCGGGGGTGGGCCTGGGAGGGCCGGGACGGCCTGGGAGGGTCGGGAGGGTCGGGAGGGCCGGGGGGGTGGGGGGACCTGGGAGGGCCGGGAGGGCCGGGGTGGGCCTGGGAGGGCCGGGAGGGCCGCCTGGGTCGGGGGTGGGCCTGGGACGGCCTGGGAGGGTCGGGAGGGTCGGGAGGGTCGGGGGTGGGCCTGGGAGGGCCGGGAGGGCCGGGGTGGGCCTGGGAGGGCCGAGGGGCCGAGGCGGCGGGCCGGGCACTGACGGAGGGCCTGGTACCGTAGGGTTGAGGTGCCGAGGCGGCGGGGACCAGACGCCGGGCCGGGTTGAAGGCTCCGGGGCCCCGGCACTGAGGTATGGGTGGCCGAGGAACCGGGAGGGCTGGGGCCCGAGGGCCCGCGGACCGAGTCGGGTGACAGACGGGCCGAGGGTTTCCGGGGAGGGCCGCGGGGGCAGCGGGAGGGAGGGGGCGCGGGTGGGGCGAGGTGCGAGCGCGGGCCCGGGGCGTCGCAGCAGGTCCCGCCAGGGCTTGCTTGCGCGGCGGTGCTGAATCACTTTTGGCCCCTCGTCAGCCCTCCAGGCTTGCGGCGGGGGGTTGCTGTCCCTTTAAAAAGCGAAAACCCATGTAAGACATGTGGGGCCGGAAGGCTGCCCCAGACGCTGGGCTGTGACAAGTCCTTTGAAGCGGTGGCTCTAGGAGGCAGGGGGACCAGCTCCAGGTAAGTGGTCCTGAGGGCCTGGTGGGCACTGAAAAACGCCCGTGCCGTATGAGAAAAGGAGGGAGCACCGGGGAGCCCCGCCGTCCGCACTGTTTCTGCATCCCCACACCTGCCGGCGCGGACCGCACCTGCGGGACATCTCGATCCAGCTTGTGCACAGCCTGGGTCGGTGGCTTTTCCTCTCGAGGCAGTTGGTTGTTTAAGGAGACTTAGACGAGCCTCTGTTGTTAGACATTTTCTCTTCAGTGACCTTAGTGAACTCTCTCTCTCTCTTTTTTTTTTTTATTTGTGGTGCGGGACCCAAACCCCGGACTCTCTGGTCCGCAGGCCGACACTCAACCGCTGAGCCAGACTGGTCAGGGCTCTCTCCTTTTTGTTAAACGTTTTCTTGTACCTGCATCTTGTTTATTTGTTTGTTTGTTTAACTTACAGATGTTTCTCCTTTTACCTTAGTGAACTCTTAATATTATTTAACCTTTATGCAACTCTGAGAGCAGCATTTAAAGCAGATTTGCTGTATCTGGCTTTCGTCCTCACGGAGTCTGGCGTTTGAAAGTTAACTGGGGACATTTGTGTGGGAAAGATGCCCATTTTCTCATGACTGAAACTATACTTTCCTCTGCTTCAAGTATTTTTAGGTTATTCTGGAGACACACGTTGTCATGAATTAGAAGGATTTCACCTGGAACCTGTGGCTCTGGGAATAAACAAGCAGGAATGCCCCCCCCCCCCCCGCGCCCTTTTTTTTTCCCCATTAGAGTATCTTATATACGGGGTGGGCAAAAGTAGTTTACTGTGCCATTATTACATTCTTTTGAGTTGATAAAGCTGTATTTTAAGAATTGTAATCTGTGCGTCTTTAATACGAACTGTAAACCTACTTTTGCCCACCACATGTATTGTGTGCTTTCCCTTTACCTCACCCTTTCCTCCCCGCCCCCCTTGAAGATCTCTTTAATAGTCATTTTGCAGAAGAGTATCAGATGTCTTTTAATGACTACTGCCTTTCTTTGCTCCTGATTATCATAACAGCACTGATAATTTTCAGAGATTTGTAGCACAGTAAATGAGGGGAATCAATTCTTGGCAAGAACCTCTTTATAAAATCTAAGACCAACCCGTTAACTTGAGCAGTTCTTTCTCTTTCCTAGTGAGTGAGTTTAGGTTAATATAAAATTGAATATAACTCTGTTGATATACTGTAATTGAGAAGGTTGAAATGAATCTCCCGGCCCACCCCAACAACCCCTTTTGTAGCTGAAGAAACGGGGGCGCGCTGAGGCAGAGAGGTGAAGTCATGGTCCACCTAGTGGCAGAGTCTGGACTTGCACTTTTAATCTGAGCAATTCTTCCATCTGCTAGGTAGTCATCATTTCCAATACATGAAGTGGATCCACACTCTGAATCAAGATGCATAGTGTATCCTTGCAAAATATATAATAATGAAAAATGTAATAACCTTGAAAAGTTCTTTTTGAGCAAACGATTTCGGATTCAGTCTTCTCAAATGTTGTAAGAATTTCACTCTATTTTCTTCAGTTTATTTAATATCAACCATTTCCCGGACGCTGTTCTGCTGAGATTTGGTGGTAAATGTAGGTCTTAAGATTCTCCATTAATAATGAAAGGGTTTGGCCCTGGCCAGTGTGGCTCAGTTGGTTGGGCCTTGTCCCAAGCACTAGAAGGATGCCAGTTCAATTCCCAGTCAGGGCACATGCCTGGACTACAGGGCTTGATCCCCTATAAGGAGCATGCAAAAGGCAGCTGATGGATGTTTGCTCTCACATCAATGTTTTTCTCCCTCTCCCTTCTTTTCTCTAAAAAATCTATAAATACTTTTAAAAAAAATAATGAAAGTGTGTGTGTGTCTCAGGGGAAGTTTATGTGTTGGTCTAGAATAAATAGCTTCAATCACTCTAATAGGTAGACTGGAGAGAGATTTATGCAAAAACTTAGGTAGCACTCCATGATGGATTGGATATTACATTTATGATTTATAGACAGATTGGGAAAATATTGGTTATGCTTCCATTTCACTCAGTGAAATAAATCCTGGAAAATGTGTGAAAGAGAAGTTTCACTTTTAAGTGTTCTGGGGAATCTCAAAGCAACTTTGCAAATGATAGTTGGTAAAATAAGGTACTTCAGACTCCTGTTCTCCATTCTTATCTGTTTGTAATACATAAGGATTCTTAGGGACAGGAAGAAAAAGAATCTAGGAAAGTACATCTTGATATGCATTTGGAGCAGTATTTCCATGTCACAGCTTTTATTTGTTTATTAACCATCTTCTGTGTGCAAGCCAGAGCCCTGGGGGAATGCAGAGATGACTACAGCTGTGTCCCTGACTGCCAAGGGCAGTCTGTTGAGGAAGACAAATGATAAACAGATCATTATAGCACTAGGAAAATAATTGAGTTAAAAGAATTGCTCTTTTTATGTGCCTTTGATCTGTGTTGTTGGTGTGCTCCTGTCAAATGTACTATTGGCCCCTAAAGTTAACTGTCTAATTAAAGAGTGAGGTATCAGCATATACCATATTTACTCAATTGCTTCAGGCTCACCTGGCCAAGATAATAAAGACATTCCTATGCTACTGTTCTCAACTTAAAAGAAGTCACTTGTCTTTAATTAAAAAATCATTTTTGTCTTCCTTTTATGGCCGTATTTTGGGGATAAATGAAAATAATGAAAACTTTTGATACTATAGTTCCTGACTTTGAAGTCTCACATTTAAAGTCTATTTTGTTTTTTCTTTCTTCATTTACCAAAATAAACCTGTTTCCTTGTGTAAAAAAATCTCTTTCCCTTATGCCTAAATGTTTCCACTTACCTTTTAGATTTTTTAGGATAAGCTTTTAAATAAGAAACATATTCCAGGGTATATTAAAGAGTTATCATCTATTTGCTAGAGTAAATTAACTAAATTCTGATTTCCTCTAACCTCTGAAATAATCAACCCTGACAAAAGGGAGGTTTTTGTTGTGAATAAGGCAAATAGCTAAGTCTAGATGGTAGAGCACCTTTTCTTGGATAGGAGTCATTGGTACAGGTCTCAGAGCAATGAGAAGAAATCCACACTCCCAAAAATAGAGAAGGGTTCAAAGAGTAATGTAAAGAAAAAACTCCTCCTTTATATCTCTTATACTCTCAGTACCCTGCTAAACACTGCGTCACTTCTGATACCAGATATGTGGGTTTTCCACACATCAGGCAGTTCAACTGGGTGTCCTACAATTTAACTCAATTCTAACACTATCCAGTGATACCTTCAGATTCAACAAGTTAAGGGTTCCGTCCCACAAGACTGAATGTTAGTGGTTGAGCCACTAACACTTCAACAACCACTACTTGCAAATACAGATGGTTACCTGTGCTTCTGACTGACTGGCTGTAGATCAGAGGTTCCCACAACCCCTTCATGTTTGATTAAATTGCCAGAGTGGCTCACAGAAATCAGGAAAATCATTTACTTATTAGGTTACTGGATTATTACAAGGGATATTAAAGGATATGAATGAACAAGCCTATGAAGAGATACATAGGGTGAGGTCCAGAAGACTCCCTGTCCCTGTGTCCCTGTGCTTGGTGTGTACTGCCTGAAAGCTTTCCAAGCCCTTCCTTTTGGATGTTTATGGAAGCTTCATTCTGTAGGCATGACTGACGAAAAAATTGACCATTGGTGTGACTGAACCTTTAATCCCCCTTTATTCCCCTCCCAGGTAGTCAGAAAATAGGGCTGAAAGTTTCAGCCCTCTAATCACTGTTGGTCCCTCCAGGCATCCAGCCCCTACCCTTAAAGGCTTTCCTAAAGTCACCTCATTAACATAAACTCAGGTGTGGTTGAAAGGGCTTGTTATGAATAAGGAAAGACATCTTTTATCACTTATATAATTTAGGAAATTCCAAGGTTTTGGGAGCTCTGTGCCAGGACCAAATATATATTTCTTGTTATAAATCACAGTATCACAGATGAAAACCACTAGGTTAAGTTTACTATTAATAGTACCTAAATTTATGTTTAGTCTCACATATTGAATAAGAATATGAACTAGTAGGAATCCATGAGTTTGCGATCTTATTTGTATGTAGCAAATATGTTTTTAAAAAAATGTTTTTATTGATTTTTATAGAGAGAGAGAGGAAGGGAGAGATAGAAACATCCATGTGAGAGAGAGATATCCATCAGCTGCCTCCTGCATACCTCCTACAAGGGATTAAGCCTGCAACCCAGGCATGTGCCCTGACCGGGAATCGAACCAGGACCTCTCAATCCACTGAGCCACACTAGCCAGGCATGTTTTTATTTAGTAATTTATCTTAGGAACTGATTTAGAAATGTTGCATGGGAAAATAGAAATAGAACTTTTATGTTCATATTTTAATATGGGAGTTACTTTAATAGTTTTTATTTTTTTTATTTATTTTATTATTTTTTTTTAATCCTCATCCGAGGACATTTTTCCATTTTTTGTACAGAGTGGGAGGGAGAGGAAGAGAGAGAGAGGGAAACATCGATGTGAAAGGGACACATCGAGTGGCTGCCACCCGCACGACCAACCAGGGCCGGGGACAAACTGCAACCGAGGTACATGCCCTTAGCGGGAACCGAACCCGGGCCTCTCCGGACCGCAGGTGGACGCTCTAACCGCTGAGCCAAACCGGCCAGGGCACTTTAATAGTTTTTATGAAGAATACTAAATTTTAAAATATCCAAACAAATTGGCAATGATGTTAGAATAAATTTATATTTATATATGTTATAACATCTTTTTTCTGGAGCTACCAGTATAGCAACTTTCTCAGGAAGTTCATGACATTGATCATTTATTTGCATACCATGAGAATGAATCCTGTTATAGTAGATCAAGGTGATTTTGTTAGAATGTTTTAATTAATGCTATCTTAATTAAAGTGTTAGTGCTTGATTTTTTTCAGTTCTACAAAAGATGCGTCTACTGCTTTGCTCTGCCAGAGCTAAGGAGAGGTGAATTCAGATATGTAACTCACTACCAAAAATGCAGTTAAGCTGCATTGGGACACTTAATAATGCCTATGTCTCTTTTCATTGCAGAACAAAGAGTAGAAGATGTCCGACTTATCCGAGAGCAGCATCCAACCAAAATCCCGGTAGGTAGTTTCAGGTATCTGTGTCTGTTTCAGTGATTAGTAATGTATGAAGAAGAGCGCAGTGCTTAAGTATAACAAGAGCAATGCTGCTGTATGCAACTACCCGACAGGGTTTCTACAGGAATCCTAAATCTTACATATCTTTTTTTTTTTTTTTTTAAGAAGAGAGAGAGAGAGAAACATCAATGTGAGAGCGAAACATTGATAAGCTGCCTCCTGCATAGCCCCACCAGGGATAAAGCCCATAATCTAGGCATATGCCCTGACTGGAAATCGAACCAGCACTCTTTCAGTGCCCTGGACGACCCCCAACCAACTGAGCCACATTGGCCAGGGCAGTCTGAGATACTTAATCTAGTTGTTTTTTAATTTTTAAAATTTTTTTATCCTCACCCGAGAACATTTTTGGATTTATCTTCTGATAGAGCAGGAGGGAGAGAGGTTGGGACAGAGAGAGAGAGAAACATCAATGTGAGAGAGATACATCGACTGGCTGCCACCCACATGACCCATCCAGGGCCGGGGACAAACTGCAATCAAGGCATGAACCCCTAGTGAGGAAACAAACCCGGAACTGTCTGGTCCGCAGGGCAACATTCTCACCACTGAGCCAACCTGGCCAGGGCTTAATCTAGTTTTTAATCTAATCACATTCTATTTCCTCCTAAGTATGAGTTTGTTTTCTTAATGTTACATCCTTCACAAGTCAACTGTATTTGGGAGGACAGGGAGAGAGGGGTTAAACTGTTAGTTTTTTTTTTTTTTTTAATCCTCACCCGAGGCCATTTTTTCATTTTTTGTTCAGGTAGAGTAGGAGGGGGAGGGGGAGAGAAAGAGAGAGAGAGAGAGAGAGAGAGAGAGAGAGAGAGACATCGACTTGAAAGGGACACATCAAGTGGCTGCCACCTGCACGACCAACCAGGGCCGGGGATAAACTGCAACCGAGGTACATGCCCTTAGCAGGAACCGAACCCAGGTCTCTCTGGACCGCAGGCTGATGCTCTAACCGCTGAGCCAAACCAGCCAGGGCTAGAACTGTTAGTATTTTATCAATGGAAGGAAATACCCACTTAAAAGAAAGCAAAGACTATTGCTGAGGGAAAATGATTAGCTCTCAGGATTTAAGCGTGACTGCACATTCCAGGCTACCTGACTTTTATATTTAAACTTTTTTTTCTCATTATTGATTTTTAGAGAGAGAGGAAGGGACAGGGAGAGAGATAGAAATGGAAACATCGATGAGAGAGAACATGGATTGGCTGGCCACCTTCTGCATGCCCCCCACTGGAGACTCAGTGCGTGGGTCGCTGCTCAACCACATTGTTTTCCTTGAGCTGGTTGAAAATTTCACAATATGTCTTATTTTGGGGGTTAACATATGGCTTCGAGTTGAGCTTTCTGGGGAACTGCCTTAATTTTAAGGTTTTTCTTTATTTTTGATGAGTACCTGCTATGTCTATTTGCCAACAGATGCTACCCCTTAGAAACAAATAGCCAGGAGAGCAGTCTGCCAGGATTTATTCCACAGTCTCCTTTTGAAATGTGAATATCTGTGTACATTAAAAGTTCTCTCTTCTGCCCGGCCAGTGTGGCTCAGTGGTTGAATGTCAACCCATGTAGCAAGAGGTCACCGGTTCAATTCCCGGTCAGGGCTCATGCCCAGGTTATGGGCCAAGTCCCCAGTGAGGGGCATGCAGGAGGCAACCAGTCGATGTTCTCTCTCATGAATGTTTCTGGGGTTTTTTGTTTTGTTTTTTTGGTACGTGCCCCTAGCAGGAACTGAACCCAGGACTCTCTGGTCCGCAGGCCGACGCTCCAGCCCCTGAGCCAAACTGGCCAGGGCTTTCATGAATGTTTCTGTCTCTCTCTCCCTCTCCTTTCCTCTCTAAAATCAATGAAGAAAAAAAAAAATTTTTTTTTAAAGAAAAAGTAATCTTTTCTTTTAGTAGTGTCAGGGTTTTTTTTGTTTGTTTTTGTTTTTAAGAAATCACATTTTTACTTCCATGTGTGTGCTTGTGACATGCTGAACAAATCTGAGAAGCAGATTCACAGCCATTCACATGTTGAGAATCTGATGTGTGGATAGACAGATGATGGAAGGACAAGGCACAGGCAGCTCCCTGGCCCTCCAGTCTCCATTCTCCAGTGGTGGATTTTTCTTCTGTGCTCCTGTCCATAGCCCTACCACTAAATGAAATTTAAGAAGGCACTTTTCAGATCTAGTAAAATGCCTTATTCTATGAATTATGCATCTGTCCTCCCAAATTAGAAAAGTTAAAGGAAAAAAAAAAAAAGAACTGGTCCTGGCCAGCGTGGCTCAGTGGTGGGAGTGTCAGCCCGAACACTGAAGGGTCATGGGTTTGATTCCCAGTCAAGGGCACGTACCTGGGTTGCAGGTTCGATCCCCAGCCTGACCGGGGCCCATGCTGGAGGCAGCCAATCCATGTGTCTCTCCCCCACCTCGCTCTTCCTTCCACTCTTTCTAAAAATCAATGGAAGGCCCTGGCCAGTGTGGCTAAGTTGGTTGGGTATCCTCCTGAGCACTGAAAGGTTGCCGATTTGATTCCCAGTCAGGGCACAAGCCCAGGTTGCAGGCTGCATGCCAGGTAGGGGGTGTGCAGGAGGCAGTCAATCGATATCCCCCACCCCCTTCCTCTCTCTCTAAAAATCAATGGAAAAAATATCCTTGAGTGAGGATTTTAAAAATACAAACAAATGAAAAGTAAACCAATCATTTATGGGTGAATGCAGAAGGTACCCAAGGTCATCTTATGTAGCATTTTCCAGGCTGCTGTGTGTTCCTTTAATGAAGGATTGTAAGGTCTTGAATTTTTTTCTTCTCATTCTCTACTTCTGCTTCTTCCTGGGCCAAGAATCTTTCTATATGGTCTCTGATTTCTGCTACCATTTAAACCTAGACAGATGTCATCTACCCACTGACATTTCCTTGTGGATATCATGTTCTGAACACACAGCCATAGATAAGCTCTTCATTTTAGCAAGGAAGGTGATGACAGCTTAACTTGGCCTTAACACAGAACCTCACGTAGGTCCCATAGAGGGGAACAAAGTACAGATAAGCATTTTTCCCTCTTCTAAAGAAACATGTAAAGATTTCCTGTTCATACTTCTCAACTTCTTGTGACACGGCAGAGAGTTGCTGTACGTGGAGAAAGATGTCTGTGGTACTCAGTGAAGTGATGATAATGAGGCTCAAAGGCTATGGTCAGAGCTTTTAATATGGTTTAGAACTAGAGTGAAAAAACCTTTTTTTTCCCTCTATAGAAAGGAAGTATGGAAGGAGCTAATGGATTTATTTCGGTTCATAATGTGAAACTATCAAAATGAAAGAAATCTTCAAGTAACAAATTTCTTTCTAGAACTAGCTAATCATGGCCTCTGCTTGTCACATACTTACTTAGGATTATTTTCATGTCAAATAGAGAAACGTGTCTCCAGCATTAAAAAAATTGAGTCTATTACACATAATTAAGATCTTACATTTTTATTAAGGTTCCTGCCATATCATAGGAAATAGTATTCAATTGATATAGACAGATTCAGATCTTTACACTTTAAGCTGCTACCCAGCTTCTCTGTTTCCCTAAACTTAGGGTCTTTTTCTGACTGGGTAGTGTTTTCATGGTTCCAAATAACAAAATACGTAGAAGTGTTTTCCTCCACCTACAACCACCCTGCTCACCTCCCTGGAGGGCAGCTGTTTTGCCTGTTCATTTTATAAGGGATAGAGAGCTATGAGGAAACCAACAAATGTGCTATTTTTTTTTTTTAATAAATTAAAAAACTTTTTTTTCTTTATTGATTTTAGAGAGAGAGGAAAGGAGAGGGAGAGAGAGAATGAATCATCAATGAGAGAGAACATCGATTGGCCACCTCCTGCATGCACGCCTCTGCGGATCAGGCCCACAACCTGGGCATGTGCCTTGACTGGGAATTGAACCAGAGACCTCTTGGTGCATGAGTCGATGCTCAACCACTGAGCCATGCCGGCTGGGCACAAATGTGCTATTTTAAACTCCATTTTAGCATGTGCTAGTTACAATATAAGAAGTATTTTATTTTTCTCTGTTAGTGGTTATTTTAAAGTCAACCTTTCTGGCTTCATTTCTAGGTGATAATAGAACGATACAAGGGTGAGAAGCAGCTTCCTGTCCTGGATAAAACCAAGTTTCTTGTACCTGATCATGTCAACATGAGTGAACTCATCAAGATAATTAGGTATTTAATCACCTTTTTATTTTTATTTCTTTGGGTAACTTTTTTTTTTAATCTTAGAGGAGGGGAAGAAGGGAGAGCGAGAGAGGGAGAAACACTGATGTGAGAAACATCAATTGGTTGCCTCTTGCATTGCATTGCCCCAACTGGGAACTGAACCTGCCACCTTTTGGTGTATGAGATGCTGCTGCAACCATGCCACACCGACCAGGGCATAACTTCTCATTCTTTATCACACTTACAGATAAATCTTTAGTTGTCATTAAAATTCTGCAAGCTTAATAAAACTAGATGTTTCTCAGTTTTTTATATTTCTTACCTGTTGGATCTCATGTCCCTTCTGATCCTTTCATAACATCTAATATAGATGTAGTCTTTTAATCAGAAAAATGACAAGTTTTGTATAGCAAAATCAGTAAAAGAATGTAGACCTGGTACAATGGTACATTGAGGTCTTAGTTTGTAAATATTTTAACTGTTTTTTTTTCATGTTTTAGACACTAATGGCACTTTAGACAGCAAACTAGTTTAAAACTGGCCTCAAGAAGCTCGTAAGAGCCCTGGCCGGTGTGGCTCAGCGGTTAGAGCGTCGGCCTGTGGTCTGGAGAGACCCGGGTTCAGTTCCCGCTAAGGGCACGTAACTTAGGTTGCAGTTTGTCCCTGGCCCTGGTTGGGTCGTGTGGGTGACAACCACTCGATGTGTCCCTTTCACGTCGGTGTTTCTCTCTCTCCCCCACTCTATCTGAATAAAATATCGAAAAATATCCTCGGTGAGGATTTAAAAAAAAAAAAGGTCGTAAGAATAACTTATCAAGGACCATTACTAATATTTGTCATGAATATAATCATAGAAAATATCTTGTACTTTGCGAGAACTCTCAGTCATCATCAGTAAGGTATACAATTTTGCCAGAAGCAGCATTTATAAAATCTTTATATTTTTGAATCAATAAGGGTGGGTGATAATTTTACATATGCTCCCTACTTGTTGATGTTATCAATGTGTTTTCACATTTTCTTTCCATAGAAGGCGCTTACAGCTCAACGCTAATCAAGCCTTCTTCCTGTTAGTGAATGGGCACAGCATGGTGAGCGTGTCCACACCGATTTCGGAAGTGTATGAAAGTGAGAAGGATGAAGATGGATTCCTGTATATGGTATATGCCTCTCAGGAGACATTTGGAATGAAATTGTCAGTGTAAGACTAGAAAAATGCATCTGTTCTAGAATTTTTTAAACCCTTACCAATGGGGAAAAAAAGGGATTTTACCACCTGAGATTGATCAGTTCATCTAATCACAGGTCATCAAAAACAGTAGTCTTCCTGCCTAGGAGTTTTAAAGTTGTTTTTGTACTTTAAGCAGAAAAAACTGAGCTCCAAGTGAGCACATTCATCTTTGGAAAACTATATTATTTAACCTAGGCTGTCTTGTTTTCAAATTTAGAAATTTAAAAATAAAATACTTTGCATTCTAAGTTACCAATAAAATAGATCTTCAGTTATTTTAATGATCTTTCCCTATAGGAACTTGCATTTTGAACATTCAGAGACAGTTTTTTGTCTAGGTTCACAGAACCTGCCAACTTGTTATTGAAGGGTTTCTACCCAACTAGAGAAGTCTCTAAGAGGATCTTTAGACATAAGTTGTCAAGCATAGCCTCCAAAACACATATGCCATAATAGTTGGCAAAAAGCAGTGCTAAATGGGGGTGTATAAGAAAACTGTGAACTGCTGTTCAAGGTTCCTGATTCCTAGAAAGTAGACCCCAAGTCAGCGATTTTGCGTGTTAGGAAGTGCTTATTTGGTTTGTTCTCCAGACAGTAACAAACAAACACCACTGCTTGGTAGGAGCCTTGAATAATGTATTTTGGTTAAGTTTCTCCCAAGGCCCAGAGAAAAGTGACATTTCTTTTGTTTTGGATATTCTCTGATTACAGAGCTCAAACTAGTGCCTGCTTTGATAAATACACAAACACTTGTATCAGTTTCCTTCTTTTGGGCAGTGGTAGGAACTATAGAATTCTGAAACTAAAAACATTAAAATTCATATGCACTTCCTCTACCTTTTGGCTTAAAGCTGCAGATGATACATGTTTTATGTTGTGTGTGACTAAAGTATGTTATAAAATTTACATTTTTAAGAGTATTTCAGTTATCACTGTTAGTCAAACAACCATTGAAATTCCCCCACTCTAAGTGCATGTCAGTTGTGAAGAAAACAGTAAAAGGACATATAGTCTCTTCACAGATATTAATATCAAAAGTTAAACATTTTTCAAGTCCAACTAGAATAACCACTGCTTCCTACTACCTGCATGGGGTTCATTACTTACTATTTTCATGGGAGTATCACAGAAAGATCACAGACCACTTTAGATTACATGTAGCAGGTCCTGATTTGCCCTTGTATATTTAGATGTGTATGGAATACCTGTGTCAGTCAAATATATTTACTGTAAAGGCGGGATTAGGTAATATTACTGCATATGGACCCTCAACCCCCAATCTCCCATCATCTACTCCTACTGCTGCATGCATCTGTCTACATGGCTAACTTTTAATATGTATATTTTTACATTATGTACATTCTTAATTGGCCTGTCTTGTTTAGATTGTATACGTCATTATATCTGACATTCTTGTAACTACTGTGTGGTCAATAAGATTCCTATAAGAAATTCTTTTTAAAAAACAAAAATACCATGCCAATGGGTGACTCATATCTCACGTTAGTGGGTAGTCACTCTATATTTATAGGATCTTTAAAACAAGTACATTTTTAAATGAACTAAGGTGAATAAAGGCACAACTAAAAACTCATCACAGCTCAATTTAATGGATCGTTGTTTGAGACTTGCAATCCTGCATACTAGCCAAAGCGAAACAAGTAATATCCTTCCTAACGAGGAGCATCCAGGCTGGTTTTGATGTGCGGGGGGAGCAGTTGGGTGGAGGGACACCCACCTCTGAAAGTCTGTCCTGTCATGGGCATCTTCACCTTGGTCAAGCTTCTGCCACCTGGTCTTGTCCTTACAAAACTAAATTCTCCTGAGAATTTACATGCCACAATAAAGAGGATGGATGTAGGGCTTTGGATGTTTTATGGGAATAAACACTTGTAGACTTGTTGCTCTAAATGAACAAGGTAAAACAAACACAAAGATACAGTATGTGTGTGTTGTGTGGTCAAGAAGGCATCACATGACTTAGGGTACCTCAGGTGACTGTGAGGAGCCGCACAGGTAAAGATATAGTACAGTCAAGTAGTGGCCATTGTCACTCATTTGGAAAACTCTGGACCCAGACTAAACTCAAGCTGAAGTGTAGGCACTGTAATGTTTGTAAAATATTACAGGGAGAGGGTTGAGAAAATGCTCTGCTTCCCCGAGTTCTTTGTTCAGCAGATGTGCACATGTCCCCCATCTCCAGAGGCCTGGCCTGTATGGTTCCCTCAAGACAACCCAGAGGCCCTGGAAGTAACCAAACAGAAAGGTGCTCCATGTCAGGGACTGCCAGTGGGTGCCAGCTGTCTCCTGATGTTATTTACCTAACAGTAGCCCTGACCATGCCTGAAAGAAACCAACAGGTCTTAGGGACCTTTATGGGGAAAAGGCACCAGGATTCTCCCTCCAGTGCTTGGCACTGCTCATGACAAAAATGCAGCCCTAGGCATACTGAGACTGCCACCCTCCCAAATCCAGAGGACAGACCTTTAGATGCCAGGGCACATTCATGCCACATTCACCATCATTTAGAAATGTTCAAAAGATGTTTAGATCTATTAACACCAACCTTGATTGTTATGAAACTTAGAGCTGTATGTAACATCTTTAAACCCCAATCAAGAATTCACATTTCTGTCCATACCAAGGACATTTTTTAAAAACCTGGGAAATGCAACAGAAAACAGATTAAAGACCAAGTATCCCTTTTGTAAAACTGAGAAGAAGACAGGACTGACTTCCTAGTTTGGAGATCACAAATTGTGATTTATTTGAAAAGACGGTGTGCTTCATATTTTGAGGCAAAGACCTAACAAAACAGTTTTTTTTCCATTTTTTTATTTTCAGTACATTAAATTTACTCATAAAAACATTCTAAAAATGTACAATTTTTCCTTTTTAACAAAGTATAATAAAACATAAAAACCCCAAAAACAGAATACTTGACATTTACAATTCAAAATCAAATTAGCAGAATATTAAATATTTACAAAACTATATTTTTAAAAAATATTTATAAAGTTACATGCAATTTTGTAGAATTGACATAAAAGAATGGCTCAAAAATGGGAGACTTTTCCTTCATTCCTAAAAAGAAAATATGTTCAATAGAAGCTGTGAAGATTCTTAAGTATACGAGGTCTTCAGTTTCAGTACCAAAGCCTTTGTCTGTGTGCATGTAAAACGTATGCTTGTGAGGGGCTTCTTACAGGACCCGACCAGCGCTCCCCTCCCTCCTTTACCAGTGTAGTAACGTTGACCTTTGGCCTCAACCAGCACAGTATGTAGTTTTGTGAATGTTGATTAAAGATACTTTCAGAACCTTGGGACTTGTCAATAATTGAGCCTCTTCAGAACCCATGGCTTTAAATGTCACCTGACTCATTCTTTGGGAGTCATCTGTACTTTGGAAAGGATGGCCAGTGGGATCAGATTCCACAGGCTCATCCTCTGAGGTGGGTGGTCAAGCTGAGCAGGGACATGGTTTCCCTTATAACCTTTTAAGACTCTTCAACATATAACGCCATCAGTTATCAGTATGTAAAACTATCAAGGCATCAAATAAACCACCACGAAAGCAGGAAGAGTGACAAAATGATAGAAGTGAGGAGGATAGGGTGCAACCCAATTCCCACTTGGCAAGTGCTTACTAGAAACACGAGTGAGTGGATAAGTACAAGCCTCGGTCAGCCTGTGCTCAAACAGGAAACATGTTACAGCTGTGTGACGTTAGGCAAAGTTACTACCACTGCTACTGCGCCTCCATACATAATGTGTAGTGTAAACTAACTATGTTAACTTCTTGCGATAAAGGACCTATAGAATTCTAAATATAGTGAATTAAAATACTCAACCTACTAACTACTATATTAACAAGCTGACTCCTGTAATCATTTGGAGATTCTAGATGATGCTGGTTTGTTTTTTTTTAAAACACCCAATCACATATCTGCTTTCAAAAAATAAATTTGTCTGTTTTCATTATAAGTGCTAGCTCCCATTTCCTCAGTGCTCTTTAACAATTAGGAGTTCTAATGTTTAAACATTTTCCAATTTTCAGTATGACTAGAAAATAAAAATTAGAAAATAAGGTAGAAAATTGAAAGTTTTGCTTTTTTTAAAAAAGATGAAATAGTTGTTTCACCCCAACACTGTATTCTACTTCGATCTATACATTCCACTTTCCCCATTCTTGGAGATAAAAATGGGGTTAGAAACTTTAATATATATTAGACTACACAAAGCAAAGTGGCTGGTGCCACACCTACCTGGTTGCCACAGCACTTGGAAACAGCCACGATTTCAGGAAAACGACTAAGTAGTTGAAAGGATTCAGTCTGATCTGTGTTTCTAACGTGAGGACATCTTCTGAGGAAATGCAAAATGCTCTTTTAGGCCTATTGACTTTGGTTGCTTTTGGAGAGAAATTCATCAGAGATAATGCTGCTAGCAAATATTCCCAAGTCCAAGTATGTGATTCACTTGGGAAGAGATGTGACGGCTCAGCAGCTTTGTGTCCTGTGTATCTCATATTTACATTTTACAATTCTCCACTTGGAATGACCTCATAGGAAATGTCACACCACACATGCACTTTCAAAGAAACCGGGAACTTTTATAAGACCTTTGATGACTGGAACACAGCCACACAATGTCTGAACTTATACCTCAATTTGAATGTCATACTTCAAAGTTTGTTTTTATTTTTGTTGTTGTATTTAATGCTAACTTCTAATATGTATCAAAATAGTTAAAAGGGTAACAAAAGACACTTTCATTTCCCAATACTGACCATTAAAACAAAAAACTTAAATATGATATTTTTCTTTTGTTATGAGACAGTTTTCAACAATTTCACTATGTTGAAATAGGAGTTATTTAAAATATTCCTTTGTTTAAAAAACCAAAAAATTTAAAAGTTTGGCTTTCAGCACATATCCAGGCCACTGTAAGGGCCTTCAGAAATATTAAAATCGTAAACATCAAAGAACACTCTTAAGTCTTCCTTTAACATAATATGACAAGTTCCAGTCTAGTATTCTTTAAGGCAAAGTTGTGTCAGTTCTCATTATTTTGACATTTTTGTAGTGTTTATAATTTAAGAGATCAATGTAACATCCCCCCAAAAAACTGTTGTAAGCATCACCGTTGCTTAAAAACTATATGTAATAATACTGTGTGTACCAGGAAGAGAATACAGAGGTCTGTCAATTCTGCATTGCATAGAAATAAAACTCTACTAAAATAAAATTCTAAAAAACTCGACTAAAAGCCTTTCATAAAAAAAAAAAAAAAAAAAAAGTAACAACTTTCCGCTTTAGTTTCCATGAAGCCAGGAAACTGATCTAAAAATTTGAAGCCTCAAATTCTAGGGTATTCTTTTGATTTACATCAATTTTGCTTGAGGCTGATTGTCCCATTTTAAGACTGGCCTGTACAATATGGTTTTCTTTTTTTAAATAAATATTCAACTGGAAAATCCCTGGGTAAGGCCTTATTGATCAATATTTTAATACTGAAGGCTTTAGCATTTAAAATATTGTTTGAGCAGAAAATTCCCTTTAGTCTTAAAGATTTAAGTCCATAAATTCAGACCAGAAAGCTCTCGTTGCAATGGGGTGAAACTGAGAGCTATGTGGCAAGGGCTATTTCCCACCTCAATAAAACTACACTTCTGCAGATCCTGCAGGCTCTGTCCTGTCGGTGCGGTCTTTTTAGAGTCTTATCACTTTCTATTGCAGCCTTCCATGTAATTTTTAACTGAACTAACTATTAACACACAGCCTAATACAAAAGAAGTCAATAGGAGAAAATTTCAAATCTTTTGCTCATAAATTACAGGACTGTATTATTGTTGAAATGTGTGTCTCAAGTATGCATCTGTTAGCAGTAAGCCTTGGGGTCCTTGGGAAGGCTGTGTGAGACTGAAACATCTTGCAAACCTTGCTAAGGATAGACAGCACCTGTTAGAGCCAACTCACAAAGGCCATGCTGTTGCCATGTGTCTGCAAGAGTTCCTTCGTGGTTCAAGAAGACAGGACTCAAAGCTATGGAAGGGCCGGTACAGAAGATTCTCAAAGCTTTGACAACCAGGGATTCTCTGGGACTTGGACCCTTAGAAATTGTTGCAAGTAACTATTTCTACTTAATAATAATGTAGTTTAAATTTATTTGCAGAAAAAAATTAAAAACCTGAAATTGCTACAAAATGTTTTAAGGAGGGAAGTAAATACTAAAATCTCTGTTGTGTACTAAGTCACGTAGCCTGCTGGTGCCAACTCTTTAAAAACAGATTTTCTGAATGTCTTGCACTGACTGCTCTCAGGGAGTTTGTCTCCAGAATTGCAGAGATTGACATCAGTTTACATTCTTCTGTAGTGTAATCCCTAAAAAGCCCAGAAATTAGTGCCTAACCACTTTAGGAACAAAACAAAACAAACAAAACAAAACAAAGGTGACGTTTTCCCTCACCCAGGGGTGTCAAGAGTCCGACTGGTGGAACTCCACGTGGAGCACTCCAACCTTCAGTTCTCGATTCCGATCTCGCGTAGCTGCCCTGGAATTACATGTGAGCCTAGAAGGACCAATTATGGCAAT